TAGCACAGTGGTTAGAAGCACTCAGCTTGTAACTGAAAGGCTGTCGGTTTGAATCCACCAGCCGCTTCGCAGGAGAAAGATGTGGCAGTCTGCTTCCACAAAGATTTACAGTCTTGAAAACTCTATGGGGCAGTTCTACTCTATCCTACAGGGTCGCTATGAGTTGGAATTGACTCGATGGCAGTGGGTTTGGTTTCGGGTGTGTGTATACATATATATACTGCTCATAGTCGTTGTAGGTTTATATAGCATCAGTTGAAAAAGTTATTAACATTATGAATTATTTACAATATGATTTTGGTTTAGTGAACTGTTCATTACCCTTAGCATTGACTTGTTAGATGATGTACTATGGTTTAATTTTTTCCTATCTGTGGGTTTACAACATGCTTAAATATTTACAAAGCACTTAAATAAGCCATAGTTATTATACCTGGGAGGAAATTAATTATTTGTCAGTGCTGACTGACTGAGAAACAGGGAGTTTAAAAATGACAAGGGTAAATCCTTGAATGGGATGTTTTAGTGTGATGAATACTTTAATAAACAGAACCCAACTTTTAAACACTAGCAACTCAATAAGCTCAAATTTATGAATCTCATGCTACAAAGTTATGGATCTTAAGCTACAAATTAAGAGATGTAGAAGCTAGAAGCAGCTTAGGTCTTGAGGTTTCAGGAAGAGAGCAGAGAGGAACAGAGGTCAGTGCCTCTGCAATTCTGCATTTGGTACCTACTATACGCTTAACTAGGAGCTTTGGTGGCACAGTGTTTAAAGCGACCAACTGCTAACTTGAAGGTTGGAGATTTGAACCCACCAGCTGTTCCACAGGAGAAAGATGTGGCAGTCTGCTTCAGGAAACATTATAGCCTTAGAAACCCTATGAGGCAGTTCTACTCTGTCCTATATGATTGCTATCAGCTGGAATCGACTTAACAGCAATGGGTTATAGATTATACACTTTTACTGTCTCTTAGCCTGAGGAAAAAGAGTTATGGGCTGGTTTTCTAAGCCTGAGATTTTATGAGGGATGGACTCTTACATCAGGGTCCCCAAAAGCAGAGAGGAGACAGAGATTCTTGGGTAAGGAATTTATTGATGGAGTGCTCTCTGGAGAATGGGGAGTGAGGGGATAGGGCTGGACAAACAGCCCAGCAAGGATGCCATTTCAGGTGAAGACTAGCTGCAAGCCAGTCCTATAGCAGAGCCCTGAAGCTCAAACTGCACCACACATCGGTCCCTCCTCAAGGTAAGGAGAGCGGCATTTGGATTCTTGTCAGTCAGTCACTGACTGGAGGCCATGGGAAAAGAGAATGAAGCTCATAACCTCAAAGGGATGTGGCTCCCTTGAGAACCAGGCCAATTCTGGAGAAGGGGGCAGCTGAGATGTTTCGCACTGACTGGTGTAAGGACATCTAGGCAGCCACACACACGCCACCACAGCTGCAACCACTGCAGGTGGTATCCTTTCATGATTGCTGGATCTTCACAATCCTAACACAGAGGAAAGGTCTCCTGTGTGTCATGAAGTGACAAGGTGAGATGACAGGGCAGGGATGAGGACAATGGGAAAAGGAGATGATTGTAGGCTGTAAAGCCTGTATTTAGATGGGGGGAGTGGAAAAATGTGGGTGTAAATGAACATGTTACATGAAGAAATGGAAACAGAAGAGAAGATCTGATACGGAAGCATCTTACCACTGCACTTTGAGACTGCAGCCAGTGAGCAGGCATGGGTGAGGTTGAGAGGGGCTGATGAACCCTGCTGGTTGAGAGCCAGGGCTTTCAGTTCCACCTGCACAAACATTACTGAAAAAGGTGCTTATTTGAGTGCATCTGCCGATGATTTTGGTGGAAAAGAAAGCCCAGTCATCTACACTTGCAAGCACAGTCCTCTCTTAGTCTCAACCCAACCTTTAAAATGACTCCTCCATCTTACACTTTCTGCATAAAGGGAAAAGGCACATGAAAAGGATTTAAACCTGATAATATATAATGCTCTTTTACTTTTTCTAATCTGTTCAGAGGATTAGTAAGAAAAGTAAATCTCCTCAGACATAAATGTCTAAACTCTTTAGAATTCTTTGATGCACTTTTAAATTAACTGGAAATTCAACTGCAGATTGTGTGTGTGTGTGTAAAATAGTCACAATTTCAGTTACAGGAATAAGCAATGATACAGTATTTTACCTGTAACATAGGAAACCCAGAATAAAAGCAATATTCCCAGAGGAAAGCCAGCTTGGTTCATTGAATAAGGCAATCCTGGAAAACACAAAATGCCCCACCCCTCACATTAATAAGACATATAGAAATAAAGACATTTCCCCCCAATTCCTGTATATAATAGGTTAAGTAAATTTACATACTTACATGACATAGCTGTAAGAATGCATATGACAGTACTACAATTAAATGTTACTGAGCATACCAATACTTATTTCAGAATAAAATGTTATTAATTACGTTAGGGAGCAAGTTTATTAGGTGATGGGATAATAATTAGAAAGTAGCAAATGAAAAATAGATGCCAGTTTATATAAACAATTTTCACTTCAGGAGAGAAGACATGCCCTGGCATATGTAGAGACTAATGATCCCAAATCCTTCCTATTTATTAGCCTGGAAAGGAGGGAGGATAAAAAGGAGTACAGAAGGATTATGGGATATAAAGAAATACTGAGTCTACAGTCAAAATGGGGCAGACATATACAGAAAAAGACAAACATAAGAAGGCAAAAGTATTTTCTAAAAGCTGAGGGATATATAAAATTACATTGTATGATTTTTTAGGGAAATGGACAATTTTAGATTATGACCAATAAAATATTTAAAATCAAACATGTTTAAAATATTTCCATCCAGGGTTTTTATTCTCCGAAAAAAATTTCCTTCAAAATAAAAACCTGCGTAGCACAATTAAGACATACTTTGAAATGTTGCCAAAATAGATCAGCTTAAGGTGTTCATATCAGAAATAAATTCCTGAATTCTGTCAAATAGAGGTGCCTGCCACCTCCCTGGTCCATGGAGGCAGACTTTCAATCATTTTTGTTCCTACTTGTTTCTACTTTGCCTGAGGTACTTCCATTTTATGCACCATTTGAAAAAAAGAAAAAAGTCTGTGCATGGAAACATGTACAATCAACCAACATATTAACTTATGAAAGGTAAGAAAAGTAATTCAATTCAGATAAATGTTTAATTTTCAGAAAATGATGACTGTGACTAAAATGGCAGACTATGTAGTAAAAAGCTATAATCTCAATGAGTATTGCTGTTTTCAAGGACTTTGTTTTGTTTTCTTCCCTTTCTGAAAATGAATATTATCAAATAACAGAAAGATACTAAGCACTGAAAAAAATTTAACTGCCTGTAGCACTATAATGCAATACACTTAAAATTTTTATTTTTTCTTAAGTTTTCCCTTGCTTCTAATATATTGGGAAAATATAAGAGCTGCTTGTTTCTTTTGATTCGGATTGTTTGACTCCTTTGTTAAAAAATTATATGCAGTTTCAAGGAACAGATTTGTATTTATTTACTAAATGATATTTAAAATTAATATATCAAAATAAGTTTTGCACTTTAAAATTTAACACTATATAGATGGGTAAAGAAATACTGTATGGATTTAATTTTTCACAAGATTGTTTACACAATAAAATTTTGTTCCTCAAACATTTCCAAATTTCTGGAGGTTTTCCACTTCTTGAAGGTCAAAGTATGGTGTTTCAAGTAACGGTAGACATTTAAGGAAGAGAAAAAAATTAAACAAGGTGACACCATCAATTGACCAAGCCCTGGTAGTGCAATGGTTAAGCACTTGGCTGCTAACCAAAAGGTTGGCGGTTCAAACTCACCCAGCTGCTCCATGGGAGACAAGAACTGGCAATCTGCTCTCCTAAAGATTACAGCCTAGGAAGCCCTACGGGGCAGTTTTACTCTGTCCTAAGAGTTGGAATCAACCCTAGGACACACAACAACAACGATCAATTGATCTCGCAGCCTATGAAAAAGAAAATCCCCATTTCCCAGACTGTGAGCTTCACCTTAGTCTCACGGCATCTGGAGGACTGTTCTCACACATGGAAAGAGTGTGAATCACAATCCCATCTTCTGCATAAAAGAGACTGGTGCATGTTTCAAAAAAGGAAGGTTTTTATGGAAGAAAATTACAAACTTTACCATTTAAGACTTTTTTTCCTTTAAAAATAACCAATGGACACTAACAGCATAATAAGAGCCTGTTAAATTTGGCCTTTTCACCTAAAATTAAAACAAAACCCACTTACCACTTATACCAGATCCTATGATGGAGTTGACAACATTAAAAACAGCAGCAGACTGACGACAAGTTTTCTCTTTATGATTATGTTCAGAAACCAGGGTTTCTCTGTCATCTCGAGCTCCCTATTTCAATGGATAAAACAGCTATTAAACAAATATTTATTACCTCAAAAAGTTAGAAAAGTATCAGACAAATACACAACGCAGGATGCTAACACGGTAATATTCGTAGTAACAATAAGTAATATCAATGACGATAATAAAATAATAATGAGGATCTTAATAAGTAGAAGAGTAGCTAGTGAACAGCGCTTTGTCGGCAAACTCCATCCTCAAACGTTCTGACTACAGCTGCCCCAAGGTGAGGACTGCTGCACGGAACCCCAGAATACATGACCAGTTAGTGAGGCAATGATGTAGTTTTGTGAAATTAAAAGGGTTAGTGAAAAGTGCCTGCCAAGAAGAAAAGTCAGATTAAGGCAAAACTTTTTTTCTTGGAGAGTTTTCCGCGGTACTAAACCAAGATCCCAGGATGGAGGCAGCAGATCTCTATTGCAGGGTGAAACTTGAAGGGAACTGGTTTCAAAACGTGACCCAGTCGCCAGTTTTACCTGCGGCGGGATGACTGGCAGCTGCCCCTGGTAGCCCATGGCTGCACGGTGTTCCAGAGCTGGGAAAGGAAGGTTCGCGGGCCTGGGCAGCCCGCTCTCGCGGCGTCAACCTCCTCGGCCGCCCACCACACTCGTGTCCGCGCGCGGCAGGAGAGCTGCCAGGAGCGGGTTCCGCGGGCGCCCCGGGGCCCCACCCCCGCGGGCCGGGCGGCCTGCAGCCCCGAGCTCTGCTGGCTATAACCCAGAGCGGTTTTCCACCGCGTTTGCCCAGCCAAATGCACCTTCCTCCTGATGCGGAGATACGCAGGATGTTTCTGCAACCTGTCCTCCTCCCCCCGCCCCCGCCCCCACCCCGCAGCCTTTTTTTTTTTTTAATTCCCAGCGTACGAGGAGAGCGACTCAGGCCCGAAGCTGCAGAGTACAACTTGTGCTGCCCGTGCTGCACTGTCCGGATTGTACAAAGAGTACGATCGCCTCATTTTAATCAATTCTCAAGTTAGTTGCTGTTTTGCTGTTTTCATGCCTAAGTAAGAACACAGTAGCGTCTCCGTCCCCATGGAGCATCGTTTCTATTGCCACCACCTCCTCCACCCTGTACCTCTTCTGTGTCAGAGGTAACAGATGAATATTTAGGTCTGTTATTTTAAATGGAAATCGGAGATTCGGAAGAAAACAAACATAAAGAAAAGAAACTTGTCTCAGGTATTAGCAGACTTGATTACTGAGCATGCTTTGGTCAAATGCTTCCTGGTAACATTTCTGAAAAGAAGACTTAAAGAGATGAAGGACGGACGATGGATTGATAATGGATTCAGGTAATGAACCTTAAATTAGAGCGGGGGAGGAGATGTAAGAGGATGGGGAAGGAAAGTCATCTACAGTGTCAGAGTTAGAGGTTCTTAAATGACCGTCTGTTCAAGCCTCTCATACTACAGACGAGGAAACTGAGGCCCAGAGAGTATTCAGTTGCAAAGAAACAATACAGAGGAGAGTTTCAGGGACAATAATAGTGGTAAAATGACATCAGTACTTGTCAAATACTTAAAGAGGTTGTTTTTCATAGATATTTATTTAGAATTAGAAAAAGTAAAAAAGCATGGAAAACTAGAATTATAAAATAAACATCCATATATTCCCCACCATCAAATTAAGAAATGTTAACTTTTTGTCATATTTCTTCAAATTTGTAAAAATAAACATTTAATAGCGCAATCAAAACTCCTTTGTCCTTCCCCATTCCCGTTCCTCTCCCTTCATCCCTAGAGCCACCTACTCTTACGAAGTTGGAGTGTTATCTTTTTTATCCATGCTTTATATTTTAACTCATTCACTTGTAACTATAAATGATATATAACATTGGCTTGTGTATTTTAAAGATTTACAAAGATGGCCCCATATTCTATATTTTATTTTCCCACTAGCATTTTTGTTTGTTTCTTCAACATAACATTTTGAAGATCTATACACTTACATAAATACATTGTTGTGAGTTGCCATTTCATTGATTCCACTCACGGTGGACTCCATGTGTGCAGAGTAGAACTGTTCCATAGGGTTTTCAAGGCTGTGACCTTTCAGAAGCAGATCATCAGGCCTGTCTTCTGTGGCTCCTCTGGGTGGGTTTGAATTGCCAGTTTTTTAGTTAGTGGACCAGCACTTAACCATTTGTTCCACCCAGGGACTCCTTACGTATATATAGATACAGTTTATTCATTTCATCTGCCCCACAATTCATTTCACCATCCCCTACTGAAAGACATTAAGGTTGTTTCTAATTTTACACTCTTCTGGAGCATAGAAGTAGAATTGTTGTATTTCCACTCTCAGAGATAACTGTTTTTTGAGATTTGGATTTTATTACAGGATTTTTATTTTTTTAAATATATGATATGTGCCTGTCTATGTACATATGCATTTGTTTTTCCTTTGTGTGAATATTGGCTCTATGGTGGTTTTAAAACATGTCCACAAATTCTCTGATATGTCTCCCTTCAAGAAGTGGAGCTTGATTCCCTTTCCCTTGAGTGTGGGCTGGACTTAGTGACTTGCTTCTAATGAATGGCATATGGTGAAGCAATGGTGTGTAACTTCTGAGACTAGGTCATAAAAGTCATTGTAGCTTCTGCCTTCCTCTCTCCCAGATCACTCACTGGGGGAGAAGCCAGCTGCCACGTCCTGAGGATATTCAAACTGTCTATGGAGAGGGCCACATGGTAAGGAATTGAAGCCTCCTGCTATGTCAGTGATATATGTTGGAAGTGTATCCTCCAGCCTCAGTTAAGCCTTCAGGTAACTGCAATCCTTGCTGACAGGACTGCAACATCATGAGAGGCTCTGAGCCAGGGTCACCCAGCTAAGCTGCTTTTAAATTCCTGACCCATGTAAACTGGGAGAAAATAAATGTTCCTTGCTGTTCAGCCCACTAATTTGGGGAGTTACCTGTTACACAGCAAACTAATATAGGATCACTCTATACAAATTTTTAGTAGTCTTTCTTAAGAATCTTTTCTAATTTTTAAAGTTTGTTTATTTAATATAATTTCAAAAGTACTATATTCTCGATGAGAAAACTGAAAAAGACAGAAAAGGACACATAGAATCACTGGCAATCTTCCCACGCAGAGCTAAACACTATTAACATTTTAGAACCCTACAGTTTAGTCAGATTATACAGTGTCTGGTTTAGAGGATAAGTACTATTCACATGTCCACAAACAGTTTTATTGAGTCTGTCCTAGCCCCAAACAGAGGCCAGACCTTCAGGGATAAGAGAACCTTAATTTGACCTCTTTATCAGATTGTATAATTATGTATACAATATACTACGCCGTGTAGGAGTACTACTTTTCTTCATTTGGTTGCAGTCCAGAGTAGGTGACCTCTTAGAACATCTATCTCTCTTATAAAGAAGGCTCTATTTTGGCAGAAATCTGAACTTAGGAAGTTCCTGATGGCTAACCTGACTCCTTTCTGACATTTTTAAGGTTCAGCTTTGAATGAAACTAAAGATAATGGGTGATACAGAGATAATAGAGATATAAAGTAGATGGAGTTTGGGCTATTGCAGCAGAGAACGCTATTTGGCTCTAAATATCTGTTCCCTCTTCTTCCACCATGATAGAGACTCTGATTTTTGTCTAGACTTGTGGCCACTTAGAATGAGGACTGCAATTCACATTTTTCCTTGCAGCTGGTTATGGTCACATGACTAAGTTCTGGCCAAGGGGATGTAGGTAGAATCTCCTTTACCTCTCCTTTGCTCCTTCCTGCTTGTTAGAGTACAGAGACATAATGGTTGAAGCTGGAGCTTCATCCTGGACCACTTGTTGGAAACTACATATTGAGGATGGCTGAGTATTTTTTTTTGAGTACCAAGATAGAAGGGGCCTGGGTTTCTGGTGTATATACAACCACCATACTAGACTGGGATTGTTCTTGATTATGTAAGAGGGAAATAATCTTCAATCTTGTTTACACCACTGTTCTTTTGGGTTTTCTGTCATTAGCAGGCAAATATAACTCATTAGTATACTTCCTGTAGGCACCAGCACTACGATTATAATAGTCACATAGAATTTATCCGGTCCATATATTTTTATATAACAGCACATAAATAAGTTTTATGAATACATCGTGGAAGTAATAGGAAGGGTCCTTGTGCATCACTAAACTCTGTATTAATAAATACATATGATTTTCCATTCATATGTATATAAACTGAACTGTAAATCATTGGTTAATGTGACTAGGGAATACTCTGTCTGTCATTATGGTGTGGATCCTCTTGTGTGTGTCCCATGTTGGTCTTATCCTTAGAAGTCTGGTCAGCACTGGTTGTTCATGTCTTGTCCAGGATCTGCATCACTTAGCACAGAGGATTCTTATTCTTTGATCACTGACCTGAGAAATGATCCAGCAAACCTGCAGCTCTGACTTGAGTGTACTCTCAACAGTCTTTCACGCTAGTGCCTGTGTTCTCTCCATATGTGATGAAGAATGAAATTCTAAAGTCTCTTTGGAAATAAATTTTTATACTGGGAATCCAAACTGCAATTTGATCCTTCATGTTTGCAGTTCATAGTATTTTCTTTGTAAGATCACTAAACATTTTCCAGGCTCCAGAAGCTGGAGGTGGGTGGCTAATACAACTCCGTCATTTCATGCCAGCTACAATGGAAATAATACTACACAAGACAATAGGTGAACAAGCTGAGATTTACCTACAAAGAGAATCAGTTCTTATCACATATTAATAAATGTATCAAAGACACACCCCAAGAGGTAGGGTTAAAGAAATGAAATTGGGGGCTGTGTGCCCTTTAGTACCTTAGTTAAGCTAATATATGAAGGTTACACTAGAATAAGTAAGAGCCCATTTACCTCTTTGGAACTTTCTTTTTTAATAAAGTTCCATTTGAAAAATTTTAGTCTTGTATCACTTGAATTAGACTGGAAGAATGAATATTGTATACCCCTAGGACAGGCTGGCTATCAGGATCAGAGACTCAGCAAGATAGTATTCATCACTATGGCAGCTCAAGAACCACCAGAACTGGAACAAAGAGTAGGATGAATCCTTGGCAGCAAGAGTGTCAGGGACAACTGTGACTGTGGATCCTCTCCCAGTTGGAGCATTTTATTCTCACATATGATGTGTCACAAAGAATGACAAGCGGGGTTAAAATCAGGAAGCAGGAACAAAGGGACCAAGGAGAACTTTATGACTAGAGCTGAGATTGCACATAGTGTAGAAATAAGGCAAACTTTCCCCAAATCTCTTACTCTGACTAATGTATTTCTTTTTGCTCTCAGATAATTTTTTTTATTACTGAATTATAATACTTACTCCTTTATTTTGTGCTATAAGTAATTATAGATTTGTCTTTCTGAATGGTAAGCTCCTTGAGTTAAAGGATCACATTTTGTTGTTGATGATGATGTTGTTTTACCTTCACCGAACCTGGTACAGTGATTCATACAATTTCTGATGTTTATTAAAAATGTACCAAATATAAAGCGTCCCTCTTGAAAACAGGAAC